CGGAACCTAAACTCATTTATAGGTCCAGATTTGACACCGATGCAAAGACGTAAACTTCGGGAAACAGACACCAGCTACAAACACGATAATCAGCACTCCGGTCCCTCAACTGAACCTCTAGCTACTACTTCTACTTCTGGCAATAATAAAAAGAAATGCATAAGCCAGCGTAAACAAAATGATAAACCCACAGCCGCCGTAGAAGGACCCCCAGCAAGTAGTTCTGACTCTAGTTCTCATGACAAAAAACGCGCAATTGCAAAAGCAGCTGGGACTGCTGGGCAGAAACAAACGAAGGAGGCACAACAAAATAACACCGTTCAACTAGAACAGAACGATGATGCAGATCCCGGACCCAGTCATGTGATACCATTAGATAGCGATATAGGTTTTACTACGCCACCCAAAACCGATCAACTAGTACTAGAAAAGGACTGCCAAACAAGACACACGAACCATAAGGCCTTATTAAGCACATCAGCACAACCAAAACGCCCTAGGTATGTAGACATAATGAATAGAAGTCCACCAAATCTAACCAAAAACAAATAAGCTTCTATAACTGCATATCGACTCCCCAAAATCCACCTGCATGGCATAGGAATAAGCCAAACCACTCTAGCATTCCAAACTCCTTACCACCTAATTACAACCCTACAAATTACACCTACCCAACTGAAACTCAATTTAGGTACAATTACCACCTAGTTAATCTACCTCCCCATATGTACCCTCAGTCCATACACACTAGCCCATGAAATCATACTCCGCAATACGCATCACCATATCCTCCAAGAACCACACACCTACCTCCATTTAGTCCATCACTCACTCAAAGTACCCCCAGAAATCCTTTTTTTTGCCACAGCCCACCTCTTCTATATCAGACATCCTAAATCTAGCTCTTATAAATTTGAGATCGACTGTCAACAAAATATCCCAACTTAGAACTTTGTATAAATACATAACCCCGATGTAATTTGAATTACAGAAACATGAGCAAATGAACTTATATCGAATGCTTCGCCAGATGTTCCAAATTAAAATTTCTATCGACGGAACCGTGTTAATAAACGAGGCGGAGGTTGTCTTATCTACAACAAAACAGGTATTGAGCAAAGTGGTACTGATGTCCCAACCGAAACCTTTGCTGAAAAAGCGTGTTTTGCCACAATAAAATCTCATGCCCAGGAAAACATACTATTCGGGTGCCTCTTCTCCCCTCCATAATGTAGTAGTGATGACACAAGCCTCAACCACTTAATAAGCAATATAGCTAAGATAACTGCGGGCGACCTAAACTGCACAGAAATAAACTGGGTCGAATTATCGGCACCTACCAGGCACGAAGAATTCTTATCTTCAATTACCTTTAAAAACTGGACACAAATAGTTGACAAACTCACCCGAGGAAACAATAAAATAGACGTTATTTTCACCAACGATATCTGGCCCTCTATGTGCACTTCAACTGCGCAACCTTTGAAAGTGACCATAAAGAAATAATATCAACGCTCCCGCTTAAATGCAAAACTAGCAACCCATTTTAGTAACACGGGCCTTAACCCAAAAAACATGACAAAGCCTCAATAAACAATTATTTTCGGTCATTAAAATGGATCCCATACCTTCTAACAACATCCCCTATGGAAGCAGTTAACCTATTATACTCTAAACTATTTGTAATTCGAGATACCTTGATAGACAAAAGACTCCCGTATAAGAAATCACCAATCCCGTACTTCCTTTCAACTAAACAAAAAAGCCACAAAAACTGCTACGCGACCCCTCTGTGAGTTATTTTTCCACATTTCGACGAATTAGGGAAATTCACGACCTATTCACGAAAATGGAAACAAAAAGGACCGTAACAGCAGAACATCGGGCATTAGAATCCCCCGAAGGAACAGCACAGATGTTTCGAAAACTAATGAGTAATCATCGACAGTCAGGACCACGAAATACTATTGATGAACTAGAACAAGTTATAACAAATGATCACCAAATAGAAAACTCTTTCAATAGATACATCTCACCTAACTACACAGTCGAAGATGGAACGATCCCCCCAACCGACCGCAATGGCAGAACGCATCCTAAGTGAGATTCATTTTAGTGAAGAAACGGTTAAAGTAGCCATCAAACAACTATCAAACACCAAATCCTGTGGGACAGACAAAATCCCACCATGTATTCTGAAGCATATGACATATGCTCCAATACTCCTATCTAAGTTATTCATCCTACTCCAGTCAAATGCAATTTTTCCGGACATGTGGAAATACTCGACCACTGCACCTATATTTAAAAGCGGCAACCGATCTCATACACAAAACTATCGTGGTGTTCACCGAACACCGGCTTTGGCTAAAATCCTCGACAAATAATCTACAATCAATTGCTAGACCATCTTATAGACGCACACCTCATTCCCCACATCTCAACATGCATTTTTACCTAGAAAGTCATTTCAGTCCTGACACCTTACATTTTGAAATCCGTTTCCTGCGATAACGATGATAGAAACACAGTAGACTCGATGTTCTTCGATCTGAAGAAGGCGTTTGACAAAGTCCCCATAAAAAACTACTGATAAAGCTAAAAAGTCATGGAATTAGGCCTCCAATCCCCGATTTTCTTAAATCCTATCTTCAAAACCGATACCAAGTGGTGCAAATTCGAAACGTC